AAGGACTGCGTAACAATATGACAGACTCTGATCAACATTCCCAGCACAAGGATGAAGGGGGGTGAGAATGTCAGTGTGAAGTGCGGAGGGTTCTCATGAAAGCCGCTCAAAAGGTCACATCACACTAGATTTAATTATGCAAGAGAAAAATTGTAACAGTGACGGCGTGATAAGACATAGGAAATGTGAATAGCCCAGGGCAAAAGGGGAGATACCACAATTGCTTAGCACACGTTTGGTCAAAGGATAGACTTACTTGTCTCTTTGGCGAGTTGCTATATGGTGCTAAGAATGGCGATACTCACTGACGATGCCGGCGAAACGTTTGGCAATGTACCAAGTCCACGATGCTACTCTGGAAATGATCATGCATACAATGGACTCCGGACTAGGTGCGTTCCTCTAAGTCTTCCTACTAATATGACCATGTTGCGAAAACAAGGGAAAGGAGGCTGCGACCACACAAAAGGTCACACCTTCTTGGTATTCATACCTTCGATTAAGAGAGTGACGAGTTTATAGATGGGCCAGGATAGAAAGAAGAGTAATAGCGTAATAGTTTTCGGCAAAACGTTGGTCGAGGGATTGACTTCACTTGTCTCTATGACGAGCTCGTAGCTTGGTGAGGAGAATAGTAGCATTCACTGATGATGTCGGCGAAATGCCTGAGAATGTACCAAGTCCACGGTCTGATGCTACGAATTATGATAACTAATATGGCAGGGGATATCGGACAAGGTGAGTACTATAAAGTCCCTCTGACAACAAGGCCAAGTTGTGAAAACGAGGTCAACCAACTTGTATAAATCGAAAGGGGACTGTGACCATACCGGAGGCCACACCATCTTGGCCTTCATATCTTCGAACAAAATCACTTTTTGGCTGTCTGAAATCCGGCTGCTTAACAGCATTGCTTCCTCGTCCTCGATTACACAATGTTCTTCGATAGGATACATGTAGATCAAGAAAAGGCGACTGCAATTGGATGAGTCAGACGTATAATTGGTCAAAAGTATATCCAGGGAGTTCACCTGTGAGATGATGGATATGAAATTAAAGGCTAAAGGTATGGGTGGGATAAATAGAGGTAAGCAGTGTGTGCGTAAGTTTCATGTGTATTCTTCGTATGATGGAAAGGGATGTGACTGATTACAGACTTGACCACGGGGGATACCAACAAACACACATACAGGGGCGATAATCCCAGTACCATAGCGATAAATGAGCGACGATAAGAGTATGTTTTTTTGCGATTCAAAGGAGAAAAAGGGAAGCGATGCATTCTCACACCCGTGGTTATGACTTGAGCCGGACAGAGGATTCCAAAGAATGAGACAATGTGGGTAAGATGAGGGAGAGGATAATTGAGTCATGGGTTTGGGGCCTAGGGAGAGGAAGATTTCCAGGCTCTGGCATCTAAATGACCATGGACATAGGCATCATCTACTTTAAATACTCGAATATGGCGTAATCGAGGACAGGAAAGGAAGGCTCTTTAGCAGCCAGATTTCAGATAGTCAAAGAGTGGTTTTGTTGTTTAACAGTGACCAATTTACAAGCGGGAATAAAAAAAGGTGGTGGGCAGAATATAGGTAAAGAGCTCTGCAAACTGTACCTGATATCGATGGTGAAGATGATTACGCTTTAATAAGCCCACTTGTAGCGACATACTCTTAGGCGACATTGTAGGAAACGAGAGCACAGAATTATGTGAATGAGTTGATGGGCCATTTAAGTTGGGTTGAGAGAATGAGATGCGGCACTAGAATGTAGAACAAAAATTGGGGGCGATAAGGCCACAACGGTTGAACAGAAAATTGGTCAAGTGGATTGCCTTCCCTTGTCACTTGGATAAGTTGTAATTCTGTGCTTAGAATGGCGCCTCTTACTTAACATGTCGATAAAGCGTTTTGAAATGTACCCAGCCAGTGGCCCAATGCTGGAAATCACGAATACTATGGCAGAGGACACGGTACAAGGTACGTTGCACAAGGTCTCCCTGACGCTCCGACCAAGTTGCGAAAATAATGTCGAGCCAGCACAATAAAGCTAAAGGAGACAGCGACCAAGCAGAGGGCAACATCATCTTGGTCTTCATATCTACAATCTATTTATTCATGCTTTTGTAAAAAAAGAATATACAAATTAAAAGTAAGCAATAACATACCTGGTTAGTATAAAATCAAACAATAATATAAGATCACTAATCTCAAGATTAATTGGAAACGATTGTCTGTTTGACGATGATAATGAGTTTTGCTAGGGCATGATTAATAAAAACGAATAGATTCTACCATTTCTCTTAAATTAGTCACTATTGAAAAATAGCACATTAAAGAGTAGATATAAAATTAACATAGATAATCTCCAGCAAAATTTAGAAAGTAGCTTCAAAATGTTTAGTAAAACTAACCCTAACTCCCGCATCCCGTTTAAAAATTCCGTTCGCGTGAATTCACCCTGAGTCTTAGCAGAGAATTTCCAAGCCAGCATAAGGCATGTTATTCCATCTAAGGGTAGTTGTAGATCGTGAACGAGGAAGCGCTCCATGCCCGTAGCCAAGATAAGATCAAAATACTTGGGATCTTTGAGACAAAAAAAAGTATTAGTTAAAGATTGCAAAATAGGATGACCTTTACTTTATAATAACGTATATCTTAGTAATAAAACAAAAATATGAAGTCCCCTGCTAGAAAAAAATTTAGCTCTACAAATAATTCATGGTTCAAGAGTTTTAGGTAAGTAAAAAAATAAAAGCATGTAATAATTAGGTCGAAATTAATAGCTTACCTTTGTATTTATCGAATAGGAGAGCAATCTTGGTTTCATTGACCTGCGGATTTGAATTTGCTTGGTTTTGAGAATAATAAAAGTCTACTGCCTGCTCGATTTTCCAATTATAGTTCTGCAGACAATTTATGGCAACTTTTTCATTTGAATGAGTTATCGATTGAAACTTTTTTACTTTATCCCTCTGACTGGAATTCAGACGAATCTAGTAAATTAACAAGTTTAAAACAAATAATGAATCAAAAATAAAAATTAGCATTTTGATTAGATGCGTAAGTAGGAATATGCCTATTGTAAATGGGTCGTAACGCGCAAAAAGCATACAAAAAAGCCTATTAGCATCTAGATGTACTTGAATATATGAATAATAAAAAGTAAGTAAAAATCTAAAAAGATGGCATTATGTGATTGCAACATTATTTTTGTTAAAACATGTGAGTAAAAAACTTTGAATAGAATTTAAACCCCAAAGATTTTCGTATTATAGCAGTGCATTTAAATAAAGAAATATAGATTAAATAACAAAGGAATAAAAAGGAATGATTTAACGTACCATCTTGGCGCTGAAGGAATTAGTCAATCAATGCGCCAGTGAATAGAGACACCTA